AGCCTTCAAATCCAAATAAATACCAGCATTGCTTGTGATCTCATTTTACCACACTGAAAATAAAACAGGCAGTGTCACTGTGCAAAAACGGTGTTCATGCTTACAATACTGAAAGTTGTTCTGCTCCTCAAAATAACAACAACAGCAATAATGCATCCCTCAGTTCTTTTCACCTGGAATATCTCCCCACTTCAAATGGCTCCCCTGTGAACTTATATTACCTGTTTTGAACAAATACTATGAAAGTCGTCTTCAGAATTATGCACACCCGCACAGGAAGTTGGAGAGTCCATGATGCTGATTTTAAACATTCTTAAAGTGTCAGTTACTCTCTCCCCATTCAACTGCCAAACTCAGGTCCCTGACAAGGTTGAATCGGTTGCACTATCACGAGTAACTGCAATGTAGTCTTTGCACTGTGGTTTGTGCAGAGGGTGCGTGCTCAGGGCTGGTTTCAGAACATATGGGAACAGCTCACCCACATAGAAATATACTTTGCCCCTTCTGGGTCCACCTCCATTATTTTCTGTTGCAGCCACTGGCCTCCGGCTGAATCCCATCTCTCTGAGAAAGCAGTATTAATTTCCTCCTTCCAGTTCACAGCTCAGACCACTTCCCTGTGTAGGAGCTTTCAGCCCAGCCATCATGTGAAGCCTCTCCTCCTGCAAGAGGGGAGGTGTTATGGGCGGGACGCGATTTCTGCCTCATGCAGGGGGCGTTACGCCCCCTGCCCCCACTCACCTGGCTGGCGCACCACGCCCACAGGTAAGCGCCCAATTGGGCAGCTTGGAGGGGCGTAGTTTGCAGTTTAACTTACTGCTGCGCCAGCCATTCTGCCTCATTTTCCGCCTTCCCGTCGCGAGTCACCCACCCTCCACTCCCTTAGAGCTTATGGTTTAGTTTCTCTCTTGGCCTTGCTATGGACCTTAGGTTGGTCGCCCAGGTTGTCCAGGGGGCCTGGTAGGAATTTTTCCATCTGGCATTAGGCCTTGTGGTTTTTTCGCCTACCTCGTAGCAATCGTCACAACTTTCTCGGTATTGGTGGGTAGGTTAGGCATTGGAATGTGTTCATGGTGTGTGGAAGGGCAAGGTGTGGCCATCGCCTACCCCTTAAATTTTGGGTATTCCGTTAAAGGAATCCAGTGGTCGTGGATCCTGTCCGATGCCTGTGTGGCAGGGGGCCATGGCACTACCTTTGATGACATCAGGGCAGAGTTTATAGTTGTATTAGCATCAACAGGCTCCACCTTCTGGTGAATAAACCGCCTTTCGGGCTCACCCCCTCTCCGAGTGGGTGGAGTCTATCTGTCGTGGTCCAATGCCTAAGTCAATACCTTTCACTTGCTGTAATCAATAAAATTGTGGCCTTTTCTTGCCCATTAACCTTATATTCCGTGTCCGTGTGTCTTCGTTTCACAAAGCGGGGATCGGGTCCTCGAACCACAAATTTTATTTATAAAATTTTATCCTGCACCTTCAGCACATAATATTTTCAGAGCATCTTGCAATTAAAAGATAAAAATCCAGCAACAGAGTATGACAGTAGGTAAAACACTGTAGATAAAATAGAGCGGATAATACACTGCCTTGTAAAAAGCTAAAGGTGAAAGGTCAGGGACCCCTGGACGGATAAGTCCAGTCAAAGAACGACGATGGGGTTGCGGCGCTCATCTCACTTTCAGGCTGAGGGAGCCGGCATTTGTCCACAGACACAGACAGGTCATGTGGCCAGCATGATTAAACCGCTTCTGCGATCTACCAGTAGATCACGATCGACCTGTTGGACATGCCTGGATTAGAGCATGATGCTGATGATGCCAAAGTTGAAGATTCAATCCCCGTATATTCCTGCCTTGCGGGGGGTTGGACTAGATGATCCTCAGGGTCCCTTCCGACTCCACAATTCTATGATTCTATGATAAGTGTCTCTGCTTAGAAAAATGATGCGGGTATTACTCATTCATATACAACATTCCAGTTGTATTTATGAAAAGGACCTGACAGAAATGTTCCCGCTCTTCAAGTTATCAGTTTAGAAATACAGCGGTACTTTGGGTTACATACGCTTCAGGTTACATACACTTCAGGTTACAGACTCCACTAACCCAGAAATATTAACTTGGGTTTAGAACTTTGCTTCAGGATGAGAACAGAAATCATGCTCCGGCAGCGCGGCAGCAGCAGGAGGCCCCATTAGCTAAAGTGGTGCTTCAGGTTAAGAACAGTTTCAAGTTAAGAACGGACCTCCGGAACGAATTAAGTACTTAACCCGAGGTACCACTGTATATGATGCAGAAAATACCCTGTAGCACACTGTTCAAGTTTCATGCTATCTGAAATCCCTGAGCATATTTCGTGAGAATTCTGTTGTTACATCAGTCATCATGTTATATGTGAGTTTAATATTTATCATTAAGGAATTACTTTATTTGTTTTAAAATAATTATGCCCTGTCCTATCAGCTTACCAAAAAATGAGATAATCCATATATGTTAGAAGAACATACAAAGCAGCATTGCAAAACAAGAAAGAGACAATTTCAACCACAAAATAATCAAGAGTCACTTGACATTTTTAAAAGCCTGGGGAGAGGGACTTCGCTGGGAGAGCAGACCACTGCTGGAAAGACCCTCACTCCTGTTGTACCCACCTAACTTCAGAGTTAATATCATACTTTACTAAAATGAGTCCGGCGTTGATACTCTGGAAGCAGGAAGCCTGCATTTTTAAATAATACCTTTACACATACACTTATCTCTAACAAACCGGATCCAATATACTTTCTATTTTCTAGAACAAACAGAACTATGCATATTGTGGCCCCAGATAAAAAGGATTTGGGGACAGGAGAATCACTTAATTCGGGGAGATTTATACAAATGGCACTGGGTTGTTTTTGCTTCTCATTTGTTTACATTTTTATAAACTGCAGACAGAGATCTCGGAAAAGTTGCTTGTTCCTTATCGATCAACTGGCATGAGCTCTGAATGATTTGAAAACTGCAGTGGACACAGACCACAAGCCCACTTTGTTGACATGCCAGCTGCAGTAAGTTCTGGATGCAGGTTTTTCATGGGGAAGAACAAGTGTGTGTGTGTGTGTGTGTGTGTGTGTGTGTGTGTGACAACTCAACATCTGGAAATTCTCCTGTGCCTGCTCCGCCGACTAAGAAATGCTTTATGGGATAATGGTGGCGGGAGAGAGAGGGACTGCCTTAGCATCACTTTGGGTAGGAAAATGATCAGCATCATGTCTACACCACCTTTTTTGTGTTGTGACACAAGACCTACCCATAACATCACGTCACATTTCCTTCAAAATAATATAAGGCAAGTTTATTCTAGGGCAAAGGGTCTACAGTGGGAGAATGATAAACAGTAGTAGAGGTGCCCTTTATTCAACTGAGGCTGTTTGCCAGCTACTTGTACAATGGTACCTTGGTTCCCAAACAGCTTAGTTGACAAACAAATCGGCTCCCGAACGCAGCAAACCTGAAGGAAGTGTTCCGGTTTGTGAACGTTTTTTGGAAGCCAAACATCTGTTTCGGCTGTCAGCATTGTTTCCAGGGCCAATCAGCCAATCAGAAGCCGAATGGACTTCCAGAATGAATTGAGTTCAAGTACACCGTGGTACCTCGAGTTACAAACACTTCGGGTTACAGGCTCTGCTAACCCGGAAGTAATACCTCGGGTTAAGAACTTGACCTCAGGATGAGAACAGAAATCCCGATGGCAGCAGGGTGGCAGCAGGAGGCCCTATTAGCTGAAGTGGTACCTCAGGTCAAGAACGGTTTCAGGTGAAGAACGGACCTCCGGAACGAATTAAGTTTGTAACCAGAGGTACCACTGTATGTGATATAACCCATCACTGTGAAATACTGTTTTGGGTATCTCAGCCCCCTCCCTCCCCGATCATTTTAAAACACCAAACTTGGCATGGATGTCTTTCTGTGTAGATGTATTCATATAAATAAAGCCCTCCATTTTTAAAAATCTTGACAAATCAGTTAAATTTTAAAAACAGGCCATGATCTAGACAAAGTTCAGTAAGGTCCCATTCACTTCAGAAACCTCACAAACTGGAGAAACTCTCTTTATGCTGACAATAAAGGGGATGAACTATCAAGGTTTAAATGCTGGCCTCTGGTACCCAACTCAATCCATGAAGTAAACCTACCAAATTGCCCACCTAGTGTTGTAAAGACCGCAAGGTCAGCCTCCAGATCAAAACTAATCAAGTGATGGACAGTGAAGGCAAGACACCATTGCCTGGGAAACCAAATAAATAGAAGCACAAAGCCATCCATCAGTGCCATCTGGAAGAGATTGGCCTGGATGTCTTTCTGTCAGGCTCTGCTACAGTATTTATTTGTGTAGCTGTGCTTTGGCTTTAGGGATTTCAGCAAAATATTTTTGTCAGCGATGATTTAGCGAGAACATCATCCAAGTTGATTGTCAAGCTACAATTAAATAGCCTGTTCCTATATACTCACAATTACAAGTGAAGCTCACTTTCCATTTTAGACATACCTGGGGGACAACACATGTGGGATGATCTCACTTCGGACTCTGTACACACACTTTTTCCAAAAAAAAGAGGGGTAAAAAACATGGATGATCATTAGCTGGTGACATGCACACATGTAAAGACCTTATGATGGATGATTATTATGAATGATGTATATGTGAGGTTTAGCAAAAGTTGTTGTTTCTGCTTAAGACAAATAATCATGCTTGTTCTCCCAGTGCCATCGATGTGGTAGAAAAGGGGAGTTATTTCTGAGCAGAAAAGGGGAATGGGGAAAATAAGGAAAGAATTATCATATGAAAATCATCTGTGGGCACAAGCAAGAAGGCCGAAGAACAAACAAAGACGGTTAAAAAGCATGTCATAATAAATGATGCATGCGATGATGTCATGGATACGAATTACACCAAGTGAGACAATCCTCACAAGTTGAATGAGTGAGTTGTGTGAGGCACTTCATATGGGGAGGGAAAGCGGGGGATAGGAGATGTGTCAATATGGTGCACTGCAGTGATCCGGGATGCATGTGGCAAAATCCTGTGAGCAGATGAGGAAAGGCAAGGAAGTGAATTTGCCCCATTAGATCACCAGAAAAAGGAATATTATGAAATGGGCCACAATCACTAAAGTTGGGAAGAAATGGGGCAATATTTTCACCCAGCAGACACAACATCTCTCCCCAACCTGCACCACACAGTTCCGAACCCTCTCCATTATACAGTGGTACCTCCAGTTACGAACTTAATTGGTTCCAGAGGTCCGTTCGTAACCGGAAACCGTTCGTAACATGAGGCGCGCTTTCGCTAATGGCGCCTCCAGCTGCTGCTGCGCCGCTGGAGCACGACTTCTGCCCACATCCCGAGGCAAAGTTCGCAACAAGGGGCATCTACTTCCGGGTTAGCGGAGTGCGTAACGCAAAGCATTTGTAAGGGGGATTGTACGTAACACAAGGTACCACCGTACTTGTGGAAATTAGCCATTATAAGCCTCCTGAAAGGTACTCCCTAGTAGACCCCTAGGGGGAAAGACATGGCATGTTGGCCCTTTACTTGTCAGCCAATGACCTATTATTGACATTATTATTTTTATGATATTATATATCTATCTAGATTTTAATATAAGACTCTCTCAAGATGGCTTTTAGCGAGTAAATCTATAATAAACTATCTATTTATAACCATAAAACACCAACCGTAACATTGTTCTATTGCTGGCAGGGTGCTCTCTACACCACCCTGATATTTTATGAGAGGGTGGTATGTAAATGCTTGTATGTATAAATAAATAAAAGCATAAGACCCAACAATGACACTAGCCGCCAATAGAATCCGGACTCTTAAGATCAGTAAGCTCTATGAAATTATTATGAGCTCAGCAGCACCATATAAAACACCAAACCAATACAACCATACAGTGGTAAACAAATGGGTCTTCAGGCCTCATTGAAAGGCTTGATAGGCTGGTGTGAATTCCACAGGCATGGGGCCACCACCCAGAAAGCCCCGTCCCGTGTCCATGCTGCCAAGCTCATCGGCCTCACATAAGGCAACTTAGATAACCGGTTCCATAATGTACACAAGTTAGTAATTTTAAGTAATCAATGATGTCATTATTTCCGCAACTTTCATTTCAATGTAAACATCAAAGCAAGAGTTGATAATTTATTTTTTTAATCATTGACACCTGGTGCTTCCAGACTTGCCCTTGGGCTACGTTCTAGGCTCAGGTCCGCACTTTAAAGCTCCCTCTCTGAACCCCCCCTTTTTTTTTCCCCTGGCAAGTTTCCTGCTCTTTACCACTGGAAAACTCGAATTGCCATTTGTTCCGATTCAGCATTAAAGAGCAGATTTTCCTGGGGAAAGTGGCAGAGTGAAACAAAAGTGGAGGTGGGGAGCCTCTGACACAAACCAGGAAAGCCGGGAGCTGTGCCCAGAAAGCGCAGGCCAAAAGGTAGGTGTGGATGAGCCCTATGCGCGGCTTTTTCAAAGAAATACATGTTGTGCGCAAATGCTGATCATATTCACTTGATTTGTTTTCATTCAAGACCTGGGATGAAAACGTGAACAATGGCAAGTTCCATTTCCACTGCCAGTGGAAGAAGCAGCAGATCTAGCCCCATCGATCTGAGACACAAGCGTATGTAAACATTATATTTTGTGGTATTGTAAAGATTCAGCAGCTTTTATAACTAATGCAAAACTTAGAATCAGGTCTTAATTTACCAAGAAAAGAGCATCATACCCCATGCTGTTCCTCTGGAGGGTCCATAGCTCAGTGCCAAAGTTTGTGCTTTTGTCTACAGAAGATCCAAGGTTTAATCGGCCGTATCTCTGGTTGAAATAATCAGGTAGCAGCAGGTGATGTGAAAGAATCACTCCCACCTGAGATAATGGAGAATGATGCCAGTCATATATAGCAGCCCCCTCTGGTGGAGTACAGAGAGCCATCACATGTGATCATAAGATATATTTGGAATATAGAATATAGAATAGAATATGGAATATAGAATAGAATATAGAATATGGAATATATGGAATGTAGAATATAGAATGTAGAATATAGAATATAGAATATGGAATATGGAATATATTGGAATATATTGGAATATGGAATATAGAATAGAATATACACAAGGGGATGCGGGTGGGGCTGTGGATTAAACCACAGAGCCTAGGACTTGCCGATCAGAAGGTCGGTGGTTCGAATCCCCATGACGTGGTGAGCTCCCATTGCTCAGTCCCTGCTCCTGCCAACCTAGCAGTTCAAAAGCACGTCCAAGTGCAAGTAGATAAATAGGTACCGCTCTGGTGGGAAGGTAAATGGCATTTCCATGCACTGCTCTGGTTCGCCAGAAGCGGCTTAGTCATGCTGGCCACATGATCCGGAAGCTGTACGCCGGCTCCCTCGGCCAGTAAAGCGAGATGAGCACCGCAACCCCAGAGTCGGCCACGACTGGACCTAATGGTCAGGGGTCCCTTTACCTATCTACACAAGGGGTTGCCAATCTTTTTGGCCTATTGACACATTTGCAGACCAGAGGAACTGTCTTGGGTACCACACACACACTCTCACACACGGCAACAAACAAACACACAACACAACCTATTTGATTGGGCTACAATGAAGCACTTCTCCCAAGCCTATTTTCAGTAGTGGGAGGAGTGTTAAATATAATAACTTAATTCACTGAAGTTGTAAATGCTTGTATGCATTTTTCATGTGATCGGCTAACGTTGGTCACAAGGGAGGCATCTAATGAATGAGAGACTCCATTTTATGTGAAACGAGATGACTGTCTTTCAGAATCCACTGTGAACACTGCTAAGTTGAATAGAGTGTTGGAGTGCTTCTACTCTACATGAAAGAAAGAGCAAAGGTGGAGGAAAGGGTAAAAGTAGAAATCTCTCATAGAAGCTGCAAGGCATGGCCTAATTGAGATACAAAAGGCTGAGTGCTGAGCTCTGGAAAGAGATGAAAATACAGCTGCTTGGAAGTTAGAAGAAAAGACAGCAAGCCCATGTTTGGAGAAGCATGTGACTGTAAAAAATATGCTTTAATTCATCTATAACTATACGTTTCTACAAGTAAAGTTTTTGAATGTTAAAATCTGGATATTGATTTACCGTAATTTCCAACGAAGGGTGTCAGTCATACATATGATTTGAGCTTCTTAGCTGTGATTTCTCTACTATAACTTCAACAAGGAGACCCTGTGCATTTTATTTTAATCTACACTCCACTCTTTGGCTCAAAGGTTTTCAGATGTGGCAAGCACAATGCAGCAATGGTTGCCTCTATCTTATCTGTGGAACTTTGGCCATTGAAAGGTATGTAACTAAGGGTAGACTCTGGTCTGCTCTAAGAAAGTCAGAGTATTCTAAGTTGAAATGTGGGTGGGTGGAAACTTCTTAGAAAGCTTCTTCCATCTTCTGGCTATTTTGGGGAATATACAAACAGGGGTGAAAGTATTTCACACGAGATGAGTCATTGGCATTCCCAGTGCAGGAGAAAATGGAACATTTCCCAATTGCATCACAACAGTGTAGGGATAGGATCCCTCCCCATCCCAGTGAGGGCACTGACCACAGTTTTTAAAGCATGTAACTAAATTTGATGAACTGTTCAAGGTTGTGACTAGGATTTGTCAGTTTCAGTCCTCTCATTTTCTCATCCCCCCTGTCTTCAATTTAGCTCTCCACATCTCTGCAGCAAACTGCAGTTTTCTTTTAAATCTTCATGAAAATTCTTCAAAGTTTTAGTGCAGATTTCTCCCAATAAATATGCAGTTTTGAGTGACATACATTTTTGCAAGCAATTTCTCCATAAACAATGCATTTGTGCACAATATTTTTGCTAATATACTCATTGCCCCCAATATATGCTTTTTTGTAAACATTATTGGATTGGAGAACCCTATCGCAAGAGTCGGGTACATACAGATGTTGAATTATGGCTGTGTTTCGCTTCTTGAATGGTTTCGAAAGTGTGAATTTGATAGAGTTTCATTTAAATGTGAACAGAATTGGGTTTCTTTCCTAATCCTCATTTGCTCACACATTGAATCTGATAGGTTGGGATTATGCTATGGGGAAGGAAGGAGAGTTGGACTGACCATTAAGTGTTCTAGTCAGTGAAAACTAGATAGCACTAACTCCTCACTTTAAAGAATCCCTATGTCCTACCAGTAGAGAAAGGGGACATCCCAGTGAAGGCCATGACTTTTAGCAGTAGTCTTGAACTAGATCTACTTGGGGGTTGGTTGGGCTGTAAGTCCAACTTTCCAATATTGTCCAGGGAAAAAGCAGTAACTACATAACTTTATGACCACTGCGCCATAGCAATTGTTGTTATGCTTTCCCATTCACCATACTGATGGGTTTATGAAGCATTTCTGTATCCTTCTGCTGTGCTGAAGAAGAATTCCACAAAACAGCGGGTATATGCGGAATCACTGTTCACGTCTGTTTGCGAACTACTTCGGCAGCGCTGGATGCCATAAACAAAGCTTTGCAGCCTGTTTTTACCAGATAAGAATCTGATACATTGCTTCTTTCAGAGACTTGCATAATCTTCAAAGACTTTCAGAGACTTATGTTTATTCGGTTTTATGTTTTCAAGAGAATCCATTAAGAGTGCATATTTTGTGACTTTCAGAGATTCATAAGTTTTCTGTTTATGTGATTTCATATATTTCATATGATATAAAGAGTTGTATATTGATATCGTATCATTGTATTTGGTCATCGTGTTGCCTTGGATATTACTGACTACTGTTTGCAACACAGGGGTTAAATTGTTTGGGTACTTACTTACTTACTTACTTACAGGGGGAAAGCAGAGCAGATGGTGAAGGCATGTCCAAAAGCAATTTGTGTTGAAGAATCCTCCTTCCAAATGATGCTTTAGCCGAAGCAAACCTATCTTTCCTGCTGTGTTTCTCAAACGTGGTGGAATTTGCTCATATGGGTTTCCCTAAAGATGTCCGCAGTCATCTATGGGGGCTGAGGGTGGGACCAAGAAAGACAGGTTACTGTGATGCATTCCCTCACTCCTCTGTTGATGGTACACTTGGGGACTTTTCTTGCTTGGGTGCTTTCCTTGTAGGAGATGGGTAAGGATAGGGAGTTTAGTGTCCATCATATGCCTGTGGCAGATTCAGAAAGATGAGGCACTATTCAGAAAGGTGCCATTTGAAGAAGTATTGTAACATTTTCTTGTTGGAATTCCTTGTGAGCAGGTAGGCTCCAGTCTTCCTCAGCATGTCACAATTTCCTTCAAGGTCTCCAGACTTTGTGTACATTCCCCCAGGTATATGTTTCCTCTGCTCAGATGGGCCACATGGCTATTTGGGATGGCCATTTTGGGTCCGCTGGACATACTTGTCTAAGACTGAAACTGCGCTCTCCTCTTCCCCGGTTACCACGCCTGGGCTGAGTTACATATGATACTGTCAGGGGTTCAGGGACAGAGGCACAGGGTAGGCAGGAGATGGAGAGCGATGGGGATGAATCCCAGGACAGCGAGGAAGAGGATGACAATGACTCAAGAGATTCCATGAGTCTTTCCAGCGAATCAGAGGATTCCCAGAAGGGGGCGCCGGTGGTCAAGGCCAGGGGAGCCCCAGGGGGGACGTGTCAGGAGCAGGGGGCCAGCGGGGGATCCCAAAGTGGCAGCTGGGCGTCAGGACCAGCCTCCCGCCAGAGTGCAGCGAGGGGAGTGGAGGTTCCAGTGTATCAGGGGAAGCACTTTCATGTTTTGAAGTAGTAGAGCATGTTTAACTTTGAGAAGAAAGAAAGCACTGCATATATTTCATTTTCCTCAAAACATTTTTTCTTACTGTATATATATATCAAAATTTACCTCACTAACTTCGAGCAACTTTTAAAATTCTTTGAAATAGTCTGCTAAAGGAAAATGCCACGCACTTCAGGAGAGGAGAAGGGCTTATCAAATACTGCACATTCCAGTTTTCTGTGGTGAAATTTTATATGAGGAACATTCAGTCACTTGCAGTTTGAACTGATACAACCGGCATATAAAGTTTTACTACCTCGGTGAGAACTAGTTGCCGTAACCCACCACAAGGGAGCTTCGGTCATAGCCACCTTCTCCTTTGACCTCATCTTTCTAATTTTGTATGTACAACACTCAGCACAATGCCCTCAGGATGCTTCTAGGGCAGGGGTCAGTAAAAAAAATAGCCGTGGGCCGGTCCACTGTCCCTCAGACCTTGTGGCAGGCCGGAGAAGCAGCACCAGGAAGGAAGCTGGAAGAAGAGGCGAGGGGGGCAAGTAGTCCTCCTCCCCAGCCCCAGCTGCTGCGCTTACCTTCCCTGGGGCTGCCTCGTGGGTAGGCAGAGTGAGCTCATCCACTCCGCTCTCTGGCCCACGGGAGCACCAGGGTAGTGGCGGCGGCGAAGGG